GAAGAGAAAAGTGTTTTCCAAATTGTCTTCTCAAATTTATTTGGAAGTATTTGTCTAAAAACTTATTTTTTAATTAATATTTTTTAAAAATTAATAGTTAGATTGAAAATTTTATCTATATAAATCATGCATATCAATTTAGATACTGATTTAATAAACTTAAATAATTTATTGATTATATAAAATTTAACACCATTAAAAACGTATTAATAAATAGAATTTCTTTGATGAAAAGGTTATAAATGTTATATCAAGAGAAAAGTGTAGATAAAAATGTTAATTTTTTATTTTTTTTATTTAAGGATTAATTGAATACTGATTTTGACATGGAAAACACAAAGTTGACATTTTTGAATAAAAAAAATGTAAAGTTGATATCTTTAAAGAGATAAAAGCAAACTTATTGTATTTAAATATAAAAATTGAAAGTTTATCATCTTAATTAAAAATCAACAAAAGTGGGCGTTCATAAATAAAAAAAAAATTACAAATTGATATCTTTATTTGCACTTTTTTTTGGCTATATTAATATAAAAATTAATATACATGATTTATATAAATAAAATTTTTAATTCAATAGTTGATTTTTGATTTCCAAAACATAATAATTAGAAGGTGAATTTTTAAACAAATCTTAAAAAGAAAAAAGGGAAAGGGGGGGTGGGGGAGCAGAATTAAAATCTAGGTTGAATAGATTAGTTGAAATTAGAATGTAGGTTGAGTAGATTAGTTGAAATTTAATAAGGTGTGCTTGGGTTGACTAATAGCCTTTTCTTTTTCTTTTTTTTTCAAAAAACAAAACTGCTTAGGGTACTTGAAAATAAAAATTAATTTTAAATTATTAAATAATAAACATTAATTATTTAAATAATTATGCAGCACTCGGTGACTTAATAACCACCCCTTGCAAGGGACGTGCGTAAGACTAATAGAGCTTGGGATTAAATCCCAAGCCCCCCATTCCCCATCCCAAAAAAAAAAGATTTCACATTGTTTAAGAAAAAAAATTATTTAAATAATTATTAATTAACAACTATAATTATTAGTGGTACCTAGCAATTAAATAAAATAGAACCTTAATCATCTACGAGCAAGTAGTTTGTTGTTTTAATAAGAGCAATGCTAGGGGCACTCGCTTTCTGCAGTCTCCGCCCAACACTTTCTCTTTTATTGGGCCACGTTATTTTGGTTTTTGAGAGGTTGCGCCTGAAAGCCTTTTAAAGAAGCTTACGTGGCCCAATGAAAGGGGAAGTGCTGGCCGGAGAGTGCAGAAAGCGAGTGCCCCTAGCATTCCTCGTTTTAATAATGCTTAGACAATTATTAGTTGGTTTTTGCATAATGACTCAACTGGAGGCAAGACCGATGACCCAAAAAAAAAAAAAAAAAATGAGAATGCTCCATTCTTAAAATAATTCTTGCTTTTTTATTTTCTTTTTTGTAAGATTAAAAATTTCTAAACCATTTACTATATTCTTTTCTTATTTCTTACTCCTTAATTTCAAAATAACTAATTTTTTATTTTAA